CAATTATGTATTATGTATTAAGCTAACATCAAACAACCACAGTAAACATGACTTTTTCCAAGTGACATAGGACATAACCTAAAAAGGTTCAAATGTAAATATCTTTTTTTTGACGCCTTCTCAGTACAAAATTCTTTGACAGAGTTATTAAGGGACCGACGCTTAACATTTTAAGATATTTTTGGTATATAGACGCTACCATTTCTTCTCAACTAATTTTATGTATGAAAGTCTGCCATTGCTCTTTTGTACAATCGACTTCAATATAAATTATTAACAATAAATCAAAAGCTATTAGTCAGATCTTGATCAAATTTATAAGGAATCACATGTGAAGCACCAGATTTCAAATTAAAAAAAAAATCATCGAAATCGGTCTACCCAATAAAAAGTTATACCAGGTAACGCACACATAAAAAGAAAATACAGTCGAATTGAATACCGTCTCCTTTTTGAAGTCAGTAGAAAGGAATAGCTTTGGATGATATCCAGATATTTACCCGACTACCCCAGAAGGAGGGCATTGTATTTCGAAAGTATCTATGTATGTACCCATGTATGTTTATTTCTTTGGCACGCTCTTATTTATTATATATAGGGCGTCTTTAGATTTGTCTTAGTTGTGAAAGTGACTTAAAGTATAAAATGTTCCCCTTTTCAGTAATTTTTAAGCAGTCGTGTTTTCGAAGTGAAAACTTCTTTAGAATCTCTTTTTACTGGAAACGAGGCATTCTATCTCAGTCCTCACGGGTGACAACGCATCTACATTTTTGATTCTTAGTTGAGAATAAATGTAGATGTCTATGAGCCACAGCAAGCACTTACCATCAGGTGGACTGTGTGCTCGTTTGTCACCCTATTATATAAAAAAAAAATACTACGTACTTAGCTACGTAGCTCGTAGTACCATAGTTTTAAGGTGTTACATTTATGCTGTCATCGTGTGTGTCGTGTGCTCTGTCACCCTATCCTATATAAAAAAAAAAGAATTGTGACTTGAAACTCGATGAAATGAAAAAGCGACACTAAAAAGAGACAAACATATACATCTATAGGAATTAGCTTGCGAGAGAATGAGATAGAATACAATATACAGTGTTTTCTATTATCTTTAGTAAATGTTATATGTAATAAAAATGTTAAACTTAGTAATAATATTATTAGGTCCTTACATATGAAATTGGCGTTTTGTACGGGAGGAATATAAAGTCAATTTTTTTTGTAAATATATTTAATTAATCAAAGTATGCACCGTTGTTTTCTATGCACTTTTGCCATCGCATAGGTAGTTCATTGATCTCTTTACTAAATAAAACCATGGGGGCGAGAATCAATATACACTTTTGAAGGCGGTTTGGACTGCCGCATCGGTGTTGAATTTTTTTCCTTGTAAGAAGTTGTCCAAATACCGGAAAAAATGGTAATCTGTTGGAGCAAGGTACGGGGAGTACGGTGGATGTCGCAGACATTCCAATTGTAGCTCATCTAACTTAGTGGTTGTTTGTTGTGCAGTGTGTGGTCTTGCGTTGCCGTGAAGAAGCAGTGGCCTAGAGCGATTGACCAATCTCGGTTGTTTAGCAGCTAGTTCTTCCGTCATGGTTTTGCAGTTGCTGACAATAGATATCTGCCGTAATCGTCTGCCGTAATCGGGAAAGATTTGCTTCAAGTGGATTAATACAGTTTTATCACTTACCCCGAAGCCTGCAGCTATCTCTGAAGTGCTTTGCGAAGGATCCGCTTCCACAATAGCCTTTAATTCTTCTTCATTTTCTACTTTGGCTTCCGGCCATCAACGGGGTTGGTTCTGAAGGTCGAAATTTACAGAAAGAAAACGTTGAAACCAAAAACGTACAGTGCTTTCTTTTGCGATACCAGCACCGTACACATCATTAATAATTCGAGCTGTTTCTGCAGCACTGGTGCCACGGTAGAACTCGTACTCGTAAATATACCGATATTTCATGTTTTCGATTGTGCGGTAATAAGCGACGCCAAAGAAAAAAAAATGAGGAAAAAACAAATGTCATTCAAATGTTTTCAAAACTCAAATGTACCAGCTAAATGAATTTATAAATTTGAATTTGGAATTCTTAACCAAAGACGAGATATTTCAGATCAAAGTGGCCAGTACGACAAAATGTTAATTTCATATGTAAGGACCTAATATAATAAATAAACCCTACAATTATCCCACTCCTGGTACTTTGCATTCGTCGCATTCTCTCGAACTTTAGTTTTCTGAAGTTTTCACTTCTACCGCGTGTGAACTGCACACATGTTTTTTAAGACTGTCTACGGGCTGATGATGATTATGAAATTACATACATACATACATAGCGCCAAGACTGTGATACCCGAATGTGAATGTATTTACGAGAACTTATTGTTGTACACAAAAACAAAAATAGTTTTATTAAAAATTATGATGTACTTTCTGTAAATACTAGGAACAAGCACAAGTTAGTTATACCAGTTACTCGACTCCAAAGTGTCAGTAATTCCTTTATAGGACAATGTATACGCTTTTACAACAAAGTCACAGAAAATATACAGAACTTTTCTATCAAAAGGTTTAAATTATTTATTAAGCAAAAATTGTCTAGTAAGGGTTATTATACTACTAAAGAGTACATGACTGATAATAAGCCCTGGGGATGAGGTGATCACTACCATGCTGTTTCTAAATGTTTTCATAATAATATATTGTTTTTTCAGCCGACTTCAAAAAAGGATGAGGTTCTAAATACGACTGTATTTTTTATGTGTATTACCACAGAATTTTTTTCTAGGTGAACCGATTTTGATGATTCATTTTTTATTTGGAAGTTGGTGCTTCTCATGTGGTTCCATATACATTTGATCAAGATCTGACCAGTAGTTTTGAGCTATCCTTAATAATGCGTATTTAATTGATTTCGACTACATTGATGATGTTCTCATTTTAATGTCAATTGTGTTATAGTGCTTGACTCGAACTCTACCTGATGGTGTTATGTAGCCGAAGATGGTACAACGCACGTTGGCCTATTCGCTTTTGCCTTGAAGACACCCACATTGCAATCGGATGGAAAGACAGATGTTAGCAAATTATTCCACATCTTTGGTTTGCTTATCACATATTAAAGAAAGTGCCGTGTCTAAATATTATGTGATGTAATTCTACTAGTCTGAACTCTGACAATTTCATTATTAGAAAACTAGCTGTTCCCCGCGACTTCGTTCGCGTTTTAGGGTTTTTATGTTTTTGTGCGGAACTCTAACTATTTTTCTAAAATAAAAGTAACCTAAGTTACTCCTTATGAAATCAGCTATCTACCAGTGAAAGTCGCGTCAAAATCGGTCCAGCCGTTTCAGAAATTACCCGGAACAAACAGACAGACTGTATTTTAGTTATAAGTACCGTATTTAATTTCATATGTATTTAGTAAAAAACTGTAATTTTTACATTACAAACTGACACTTCAATTTTATTTATTTGTATAGATTTTGTGAGTGTAAAATATTTTTCTTTGTTTCCTTTTCATTGACTCCTACATCGTCCACTATTAAGAATCAAAATATAGATACGTTGTCTTTCCAGAGGTCTGAGATGGAATGCCTAGTGAACATCAAAGCAGTTTCTACGAGAGATCTCGTTATATTTAACGGCTCGTGTTAACTATTTTGGATTAAGTACCTTAATCTTTTTGTCATGAATTTAGGTATCATATTGTTTGTCTTTAACGACTATTACACTGTATCATGTTCGCCCAAGTAAACAGTAATATTTCACATACGTTCCTTTACTGAGCAGAAACTTCTTCCAATTTCTAAAAATAATTTTACGGAGGATTCCTATGCTTTCTTTCACCGCCGTGCATGTATTAAATCTTAAAATCATAATTAACAATTTCAACTTAGTCACCGGGGATCGAACCCGGTCATCTCGCATATTATGAAATTAAGGCAAGCCCTTAGCCCCTGTACTACTCCGGCTGTGTGTCTCTAACGCTCTGCTGCTTATCATAGCACATAAATTTTTCTTCGTTTACTTTCCACTCTGATGGTACTAGATAATAATACACTAAAACAATGAGGATATGAGAGATTATAAGAACATTCCGAAGAGAAGAACACAGAATAATTGATTAACACTATTTTAATGTGATAGAGCTGCAGCTACATTATGGCGGCAATACAAAAATAGGTCGCCTCGACCGGAGAATGACCACGCTCTCACAGTATACCAGCGTAAAATAGCAGCTTAACGCTGATGTGCCTTGTATGGTCAGTGTAGAGAACCGGAGACTCTTTCTACTAGAAATAAAGCATTCCATTTTATTCCTAATGTGTGACTACGCATCTGCATTTTGATTTTTAACCGAGGATAGACCACAACATTCACTTACCGTTATGTCAACTGTGTGCTCCTTTGACATCCTTATTCTAATACACATAGGTATAGTCTAATAAACAATAGTGATCGTTATCTGCAAGTGTGCGTGCACCTACACTTACAGTATATACCAACCCACCATCATTTTATAAATATTGAAACATCTGTATCAATGTTCTTTGTGGCGAACAAAACATAGCAAATAAAACAGACGTAATTTGCACAATAATCAGTAAACACGTGTGTTCTCACCTTATAAATTTCACGGCCATCTAATCCATCGGCAGGGTTATGAAACGGGTTTTTACATCGTGCCATTGGCACGGGGAGTCAAGTGGCGTACGGAAATACACCTAGACTACGCCTACCATCTCCAGAACACTCATTCATGCACCCCATACGTCACAGTGTAGACACGCCGAGTCCAAGCACAGTGCCATTCACAAATAAAGCGCATCACTAATAGTCCAGTCTGGTCCGCGACATTCCCACAGCATTACGAATGTTGGGATGTATATTTTGCGTGAGTAATGACCTCTGGAACAGTTTTGTTCACGGTATTGTGTGGGAGGTGGTTTTAAATTTGCACGTACGAATTGCTAATGAGGATGTCGCTATATTTCAGCAAAAGAAGCGCGGGAAAGGCGATGGGAGGAATAAGGAGAACCTTGCTGAAGACGTCACAGTTAAGGAGCAGACTGAAGAAGCTCAACCATTATCCTCAACACGGAAGGATAAGCTGTGTTACGAAGTGAAGCGCTCCGATATTATGGGCAGGTAAGATACCTCTCTCATTTTGTAAAACGTAACAAAAATGCATGAAACAATTTTGTTTAAAGATATGCCGTTATAATTTTGAAGAACTAAAAATTAAAAATTTTGTACAACCGACTTCAATACAAATTATTAAGAATAACTCAAAAACTATTGGTCAGACCTTGATCAAATTTATATGGGACCACACGTGAAGCACCAGCTTTCAGATAAAAAAAGAATCATCGAAATCGGTTTACTAAGTAATTAGTTATGAGGTAACACACATGAAAAAAACATACAGTCGAATTGAGTACCGGCTCCTTTTTGAAGTCGGTAGAAAATTAACCCCTATTCTTTATTTATTTATTTAACAATTTATGTACACACAAAATAATGTTACAAGGAAGAGAAAAAAAAAGATATTTTGTACAAAGGCACTGCTTATTTCATATTGAAATTTCTTCCAGCAGGCCTGATACTGGACAAATTAAAAGAGAAGCGTGCACTCTCATAATAAAATTTTATAATATTAATATACTTAACATAAAGTAAAGATAATAAAAACAAATATCCATGTAAACATACATATAACTAAATACCACTATAAATACATATACACACATACATACATATATATATATATATATATATATATATATATATATATATATATATATATATATATATAATATAATAATATATTATATATATGATCATTGGGACGACAAAGAAAGATAGTGCTCTTTGACTCGCCTTTTGAACACGGACACTGATTGAGCCTCTTTGTTGTAAGTTTAATATTTAAAAGACTAAATTTACTTTGTACGCTTAATTATAAAATTATAACTTGAGATCACTATCATCATCATTACAGCCCTTCACAAGTCCACTGCTGAACATAGGCCTCCCCCAAAGAATGCCACAAAGCACGGTCCTGAGCCACCTGCATCCATCGACTTCCTGCATGTCTTACCAGGTCGTCACTCCATCTCGTGGGGGGACGCCCTACACTTCGCCTACCGGTACGAGGCTGCCACTCGAGAACCTTTCTTCCCCATCGGTTGTCGGTTCTTCGAGCTATATGGCCGGCCCACTGCCACTTCAGCTTACTAATCCGTTGGGCTATGTCGGTTACTCTGGTTCTACTGCGGATATCCTCATTCCTAAGTTTATCACGCAGAGAAACTCCGAGCATAGCCCTCTCCATAGCTCGCTGAGCGACCTTGAGCTTCCTCATACGGCCAGCAGTGAAGGACCACGTCTCAGTTCCATAAGTCATCACTGGCAACACGCACTGGTTGTACAATTTCGTTTTCAGGTTTTGAGGTATGTCTGACGAGAAGATGTGTCGTAGCTTCCCGAACGCTGCCCAGCCGAGTTGAATCCGTCGATTGACCTCTCGGTCGAAGTTGGACTTACCTAGTCGGACTATTTGTCCCAGGTAAACATACTCGTCAACAACTTCGAGCTTAGTGCTCCCAACAACTACCAGCATAGGTGTGACATGGACATTGAACATGATCTTTGTTTTATCCATGTTCATCTTAAGACCTATCCGTTGGGAAACACTATCGAGGTCATTGAGCATAGTGCTTAGGTCCTCCAGCGATTCTGCCATAAGGACTATATCGTCGGCAAATCGAAGGTGAGTGATGTACTCGCCATTGATGTTGATACCGTATCCTTTCCAGTCCAGAAGCTTGAAAACGTCTTCCAATGCAGCGGTGAAGAGTTTCGGGGATATGACGTCACCCTGTCTTACACCTCTCTGCAATTGGATAGGTTTCGTACTCTGGTTCTGTACTCGGATAGCCATCGTAGCCCTACTGTACAAGCACTTCAACACTTCGATATACCGACAGTCAACTTGGCACCGCTGAAGGGACTGCAGCACCGCCCAAATTTCGACGGAATCAAAGGCTTTCTCATAGTCCACATACGCCAGACATAGTGGCAAATTGTACTCTTCGGACTTCTGTACAATTTGCCGAAGGGTATGTATGTGGTCTATGGTGCTAAAGCCTTTTCGGAAACCGGCTTGTTCGGGAGGCTGGAAGTCGTCAAGTCTGCGCGCGAGACGATTCGTAATGACTCTCGAAAACAGCGCGTAGACGCGGCTCAGAAGGGAAATCGGTCTGTAGTTCTTCAAGAGAGCGTTGTCACCTTTCTTGAAGAACAAGACCACCGCACTTCTGCTCCACGCCTCCGGTGTAATGCCACCATGGAGGACGGAATTAAAGAGCTTCTGAAGGACTTCAAGTACCGGTCTTCCACCCGCTTTCAGAAGCTCCGCTGTAATTCCATCCTCGCCTGGGGCCTTACCGTTTTTAAGGTGCTGGAGAGCCATTCTAATCTCGCTCAGACTGACGTCCGGGATATCTTCGGAATAGTGTCGGATGAGACTCGCTCTTGGATCGTTACTCACACTTGCGTGTGGCTCCAACGATGACGTGTACAGCTGCCCATAGAACCTCTCAATCTCACTCAAAATCTCAGGTGTCCCGGAAACGATGCTGCCACATCCTGTCTTCAGCTTTGACAGGTGGCTCTTTCTGGCAGACAGATCTCTGGCAAAGACTTTGGAGCCTTGGTTCCGCTCGATCGCTTCTTCAATACGAGCTGTATTGAAGTTGCGTAAGTCCCGCCGCATGCATTTGGAGATCTGTCTGTTCAGATGCCTGTATGCTGTCAAGTCTGTTGAAGAATGTAGCTTCATCTCCCGTCTAACAGCCATGAGATTAAGAGTGTGATCGGAGAGTTTTTGTGTTCTTCTGCGGCGGGTCTTGCAGAACTTAGCTCCGACCGCATGGACAGTTTCCACGAGCTTGTCATTCATATCTTCCACTTCATTGCAGTCTTCTAGGCACTGAAAACGGTTTTTTAACTCGAGCTGAAAGGTTTCGGGACTTTGGAACAGAGCACGAGGGGGACGGAGCGTTGACTTCATTAGACGAGACCTCTCCAACTTAACGTTTAGGTTCAGTGTGCCTCTAACCATTCGGTGATCGCTACCAGTTTTCACCCTCGCGATCACGGAGACATCACTGAACAGTTGTCGTTTGGTCGTCATAATGAAGTCAATCTCATTTTTTGTCGAACCGTCGGGGCTCGACCAGGTCCACTTCCTGTGGGGCCGCTTCTGGAAGAAAGAGTTCATCATAAAGAGTCCCTCTTTCTCCATGAAGTCGGCCAGCTGCTGGCCCCTTGGGTTCCGTTGCCCTATTCCAAATTTCCCTACTTTCAGCTCACCGTTTTCTCTTGTGCCTAGTTTTGCATTGAAGTCTCCCATTAACACCGTATATTGGGTTTTGGAGGAATGCATGGCTCTAGAGATATCCTCATACATTTCCTCCACCTCCCCATCGGGGTGTGCCGAGGTTGGTGCGTAAACCTGTATGACCTTCAGCGGATACCGTTTGGTGATTCTGAGTATAAGGTACGCAACCCTCGTCGACACACTCCCGATCTTTACAACGTTGTTAACGAGAGACTTGTGGATGATAAATCCGACACCTCCTTGGGACAGATGGTCGCCCTCCCGGTGATAGAGCAAGTTGCCGGATTCGAGGATTACCGTGTCCTCCCCCTCTCTTCGGACTTCGGATAATCCTATAATATGCCAGCGCAACTTGTCTATCTCTTCTTCCAGCTCCACGATCTTCTCGTCAGTCCTCAGGGTGCGTGCGTTGTACGTTGCCAGGTCGAGTCGTCTAAGGTGGCAACCGAACCTCCACCGGAGATTCTTAGCACCCCCTGATACTGGACAAATTAAAAGAGAAGCGTGCACTCTCATAATAAAATTTTATAATATTAATATACTTAACATAAAGTAAAGATAATAAAAACAAATATCCATGTAAACATACATATAACTAAATACCACTATAAATACATATACACACATACATACATACATACATATATATATATATATATATATATATATATATATATATAAATATAATAATATATTATATATATGATCATTGGGACGACAAAGAAAGATAGTGCTCTTTGACTCGCCTTTTGAACACGGACACTGATTGAGCCTCTTTGTTGTAAGTTTAATATTTAAAAGACTAAATTTACTTTGTACGCTTAATTATAAAATTATAACTTGAGATCACTATAGCAGGTTGTTTTTAATAATAACTAGATGTACCTGGCATACGTTGCAATGTCTTTTTTGTCAGAAGCATTTGCGGGCGCGCACAATTCTCACTCACCACTCACTTAACACTAATCAAAGTTAAATCGTACTCGGATGAATTATATAGGAACGCGTAGAAAACGAACAAAAAATATCTTTTTATTTGTTTGTTTGTTATTTGTTATACGAGCGATACACATTTGTCATAGAAGGGCCATTAAGCATGAATTCCATTTGAAGTCTATAAAAATAAAATTTCAAAATAAATTGTAACTGGCCAGAATATAAGACAACTTTTTTTTTCGCTAATCTTTCTGCGTGGTCTGTCGTAATAATGCTGTGTTTCGTATGTTACTTGTGACAAGGCATTTCGTTTTAGTCCAGTAGTTTTCACGTATTTGTGTTTTGGTTATTAAGCGATGACATATGTAAGTGTCTATGACCCACAGCATCCACTGACTTCAGGTGGACATGTGCTCGCTTCTTATAAAAATACGGAACAAAGATAAATGTTTTATACATGATTAACATTTAAATGTAAATGTAAAGTTCTTCACTGCTGGACGTATGAGGAAGCTTAAGGAGTTTCTCTGCTTGATGGATTTCGTAATGAGTATATCCGCAGTAGAAACAGAGAAGCCGGTATAACCCAACAGCCAAGTTGGAGTGACAATATGCCAGTCATGTAGCTCGATGAACCGAAAACCGATTGGGAGGAAGGTTCTGAAGTTTTTTACGTGGTAGAGCCATGCTGCAGCTATATCAGTTGTATAGTTGTAGCACGAATGGGTCGGCTCGACCGGGGAAGGACCGCGCTCTCACAGAATACCAACGTAGAAACAAAGTTTCGTATGGTGAGTGTAGAGAACCG